AATGAGGTCTCAGGAAATTTAATCCGGATACGGTTTCAAGAGAAATCAGGTGGCAGTTCCTGAAGACTTAATCCGCAGAGATCAGCTCATCAGAATTAATCTGAATCTTTCTGTAAACTTGTACATTTGTTGTCTTTGAATATTTAAAACCAAGAAATCAATAAACTATGCTAAAGGAGCACACAGATAGAGAGGGAGTGAAGAAGGTTAGAGATAAATTTATCTTCATTGTGCACAATAGATTCACGTGTGGTAAGATAAACACAATGAAAGCAAATCATCCATAAAGACATCGGACGATTCAGTGAGTGAGAAGGGTAGAGTGTTGATCATAGCAGGTGGAGGAGGTATTCGAGAACAGGTCGACAGGTAAATTTATTTTAAGTCATGCCTTGAACTTCGATACACAGCAATACTTTCTGTATAGTTTTCATGAATTTTGGTACTAGGTGTTGTATCTCAAATAATTTTTCATTTAAACTGTGAAATAAAAATGGAAAGTAAAAAGCAAATTGAAAGTTAGTATTTAAAGCAATTATATCCTACCATGTCTGAAAAAAGAGTGGATAAGTATTAAATTCAAACATTTTTAAACTGTTACGAAGTACATGATCTCAAGCAGCATCTTTTTTTCTATGTTTAATCCTATTTTGTTTTCCTCTTTGTCAAAAAATTTTAATTTTTCGAGACTTTATTCCCAGTGAATTTCATTCACGAAATTGAAAAAGGAACGAATGTTTGTTTGATTTATTTTAGCATAAATCAATTAAGAAGAATTTACGTAAATTTACATGATATATCTTCCGCAGATAATGTATTCCAAATAAAGAAGGAATTTTTCTTAGGTCTAAAGAGGAACTAGTATTATTATTGGAAATTGGATTGAATAATTATAAATTGAATAACAACTCAATAACTAAATAATTATAGCCTATTTATGGAAACAGTTTCATCAATAATTTCTTAAATCTTTATTTTTGCTTTTTCCCTCTCTTCAATGTTAGAATAATTGAATGAAGTATGTTATTATTCCAGTGTTGCGTTTGTAAGAATTTTAATAATACCCTGTCTTGTACCTAATATTGTTTCACATTGGATTAGAAAAAAAAAATATCCTTCATTTCTTCGGTTAATCTTTATTTTTAGCTATTAAAAAATGGTTGTGGTATTAGTAATTAATGTAGCACTAAAAAAAATTCAAAAAAAAATTAGATTAAAAATTGCGCAACTATCAATACTATTGGCAATTATTAAAAGGCTTCCAGTGTTGCTACGCTCTTTTATCCTAAACGATTATCTCCAAAATCCCGCAGGTATATAGTTTTTCTAATCAGAACTAATGTATGGAACTTTTTTCTAGTATACAAGTTTTTCTAAACAAAGATAATGGTGGCGAATTTCTAAATTAGTAGCGCAAGATGTTGCAGCTTTTGTTAATTAATATTTCTTCAATATAAGTTGTTGGGTACGTTAATAAAATGAAATGATGATGATAAAGTGCTGTTTTGTTCTACCGGAAGGCTCTTTCAAAGTATCTTTCATTCGTTAATGCAAATACAGAGAATGGTTTTTCTCTTTTAAGAAATAATTTTGAATGCGTTGACATTTCAAAACGGTGGAGAAATTTGATCATTCTTGTTATCGACTTAATTATTTCTTTGATATAAATTGGCTTCGGAAAGGAAATAACATTCCTTATACATTCCTAGCCTTTTAGATTTAGTTAGATCCAAGAAATATACTTTTAGGATCCTTAGCATCTATAAGTATTGTTATCGTAATATTTCTTTAGTTGTGAGCATATTTCTTGACAAATTCAACTTTACTTACCTCATTTGGATCTTTATTAACAATCATCTGCCTCTCACTTTATTAAAATCCACAACGCACACTGCCCTTTCCGCAAATTGCCCTAGATAATATAAGGAGCTGTGTTCTTTATCTTTTACAAAGCACTTTCTTCCAAACAAAATTTCTGCATAACTATGCCATCTCGCGATAGACACATTTCTTCATTTAGTCCTTTATTTCTGGATAACAGGAAAACCAATCCGTAGATCAACTTAATATTCTAATTACTTCTAAATAATTCTAATTTATTAGTTTTCAAATTTTTATCGACTCCCAGTTTTCTGAAGAAAGCAAGTAGTTTTCGACAAATACTTCTCTCTAGTTTATTCATAGCTTCTTTGAGATATTATGCCGAATATCTGAGGCAAACTGTAAATCTAGTTTCATGTTGGAATCCATGAAATTATTTCTGAAATTAGAAGTGTCTTAATTTTTTAAGAATTGAAATAAATCCAATAAGTTGGTATTTTTCTTCATGGAACACTTCACTTGTTTGGTTTATTTCTGGAAATTCATTTTTCTTTCAACTATCAGAAAATCTGTTCAGACTAAAGCAGCCGTAAATGTACCGGTAACATTTGTCCTGAAATTGAAGTAACTTTTTGGTCAGAAGAGTAGATGATTTGGGTTAGTTAAATTCATTTGACTTATTTTAAGTTTGTAGAATTTGAATTGCACCTTTTACTTCTTGTCTACGAGCAACATCGACTCAAATGTCATTTATTTTCTTTATAAATGTGAGTCTATACAATATCAGTCGAATAATTGAAACAGCTAAGGAAAGAATGGTACTACTGAATAACGGTGAGAAAACTGCCACCGATCGTTTCTTTTTTATTAACTAATTAGAGAAGATTTCTAAAGATGTGGAAAGTGCGCTGGCTTAGCAGATTAGCAATGAAGACATTTACTATTTGAGATTTAGATAAAGGATTCACTGTTTCAAAGAATGGGATATAACAAAGGAACATTTAGTATGTAATAAATATTTTTTCGGTTTTTCGACAACATTTGTGTAACATATATGTCCAAATGTTCTTTTCAAACTCATAATGAAATTGAAATCATATTTTACTGAGTACTATACTTTATTATATGGCTGTTAACAATTGTTATATCAGCTGTAATTTTTAAAAATAGAAGGGTTTTTGTATGTGTTGTGATAAGTTTGGAAATATTTTCTTTGTCTATTCTATTAATTGAAATTCTTAAGTTAAGCTTGTGAATTAATTTTTTTTTTTAAATTAGTTTTTTCATTTTCATCACAGGTGGCATTCTTCTTTAAATCACAAAATCAAAATGTTTTGGATTTTTTATCTAATTTTTTTGAATTTTAATTTCCTTAAAAGTTTCGATCACTGTTTATTTCACTTTACAAGGATATATACATATGATAATGAACTATGCAAGAATTAAATAATAATTCGAGTTGAATAATGAAGTAAATAACAATGATAGCGATTCGTTATTCAAAGAATTTGACAATTTTTAAATTTAATAAATTTGCTTACTCCCTAAGTTTCGATAAACACTGTAAATTTCTGAAAATTTTATATGTAATGAGGCTACCGTCTGATGATATGAAATTCATGTAATTCATTCGTTTCAGAGCTCTTTTTAGACTGCAAACTAGAACCGAGTTTCTCGCATGTCGAATCTTAGTAGTAGTGCCTTTAATTTGCTGGTCATTCAGAGATCCCCGTGTTTCTTTACCTTCTTCACTCCAAGAACTATTCTTTCATTAATTTTAAAGAAAATATTTGAATTGCATCATAGACTGACGAAGAATTCAAATGTGTCATATTGAGACGTCTTAGATTGGTTAGACTGCATTCACTCCAAGGTTCTTTTGGGATTCCAGTTAACACCAAGAATTTTTTTAAATTAATTCATCTCTCCTCGATACTTAAGTAAATTCTCTATCATTGGGGAGAAATTCTCTTACATTCATTATACTATTAAAGCGAAACTTCATAAGTGCTTCTTCAATTCCCTTAGTTGATAACATAACATTATCAATGTAAAGGTTTTTTCTTATATATAAGACAGTTTCGCTTTAATAAGTTCCTAGATGATAGTTAAGAATAGCTAGTAATGACGTTATCACCCTTAATGGAACTCTTTTGTAATGATAAAAGATTATATTTCTTTGGTCACTTGTTCTTCAGTCAAGGAAATTGAGTACATTTGGTTTTAAATCTGGAAGAATAATCGATCCACTATACAAGACATCGTCAAAATTTTTATTCCGTTAAGGAAAGCTAATGCATCATAAACAATTTTTAATTTTGGTATGCTTTTTCACGAAATTATAATTTCACACGAGGAAATAATGTTATCAAACTCGTCCACTTCGTCTTATACTTTTCTGATTATTGGTTTATAATTGATCACAATTTATTTTATCGAATTTATGAATAAATATTCATTTTTCTGAAATAATTTAATTATGATTTTAAATGACCGAAGTATGAACCAAAGTTGTCATTCAACCTGTTTTTATTTCTCTTCATGGCCAAGAGACTTGTTATCTTAAATCCTTTCCAATGATGTTTCTTTGAAATTGTTTTTTCATTTGTTCATTGTAATTAGGCTGTTCCTGTATGCCTATGAATTCGAATTTCCAGAATTGAGTTATCATAAGTCAACCTTTCCGAGAACCAAGCAGATGCCACGTCATCCATTTCATTTGCTGAATGAAATCAGAGTGTATATACCGAGTTGTTTCCAATATGCTCCTTTATCATCTAATAGTTTCTGGCTTATTATAAATGGCAAATTGTGACAGTCTGACTTAACTATTTGTAATTTCTCTGTTAAACAATTTAACTTATATGTTTCAAGAGCTGTAATTTCTTATTCAACGGGGTTTCTATTACTTAATAATAGTAATAGATAGATGCAATTTTCCTTTTTGATTTCTTCTGATTTTAATCGATGTGCTAATTCTTTCGATATAGGTGATTGTGGGCAATGTCAGTAATGTTAAAACTCATTGAATTTCCTGCACGTTCTAATTTTAATTACTTAGATCTATTTGCATAAAAGATTTCCTAACTTTTTGGATCAGTTAGTTGAGTACTGAATTAATTATAATTGTTAAACTCATTTCATCTTTGTTTTATCCAGTACTTTGCACTGTATTTCACATGGCAAATAGTATTGTGTGTCGTTTGGAAACGTAAACGTTTTCTTCTATTACAAATATTTGTTGTTTGTCCTATTTGAAGACTAAATGAAGAAATAAATTTTCTCAAACATTCCACTCACTCTGTTTGGTGGAATAAATTTGACAGTCTGTTATCAGTCTCTGTCATAGCATTCAGTTGTACAATGTCACTTAATTTCAGTTCTTTCATTACAACTAAGGCATATGATGTTGTGACATGTTATTTCCGATTTTTATTAGCCTCTTTTTCTTACTAAGTGAATGACTCCTAGTTATCTTCTCTTTATTTGCACCAATTCCTTACAATTTAGTTATTGCATTGATTCTTTTTTTTTTTGTTAAGTACTTTTTTCTCTTTGAACATACTACAATCTTCCAAAACTTCGTCAATTGCTCTTAACTTTCGGAATATTCTTTTAATTGTTGCTTTCCAGTCCAGATCATTTAGTTTGATAGGTCGTGATTTCGCATAAAATTTTTTTTAACGGATGTCTTTCTGAATTTTTCAATTAAAACATTTTTAATGGTATCGTAATTTGAGGAGCAATATCGCAACCTCCTAGTCGAGTTTCTCCTTTTAGGCAGAACATTAAACAATTCATTTTTTGAATGTTTGGAGGTGGAATGCGACATCAAAACTGTTCCAGAATTGTCTCCTACATTCTTAGATCGCTCTAATTTCGTAACTGCAACTGTGGTAGGTTTACTGTCACTTATGAAGCCATTTTAGGTATTTGTTGTGTTGTGCGTTCTGCATTTAAGCGACGAATGCTAACTCATTTCTATATAGTTTTTTCTTGAGGAGTATCCAAAGCAAAACGAGAGTTTCACATTTAAATAATTTATTCATAAGCCATCAGTTGGAAACGAGGAAAGCGAGAAAGGTTGGTTTAAACCTAACTAATCTTCAATAAAAGTTTCCTTCAAGCATTTCTGCCAGTTTAAATGGACTAGTGAATTTCAGCACATTTCAAATTCTATAATTCATCTCGTTTATTATTATATCGGTGACACAAATCATTTCCAGCTTCTGCTTTGCATCGCTTCAACTCAAAATGAAACATCCTCCTCGCTTAATGTGGACATCTGTGACATTATAACATGCGTGTGCAATCCGGTTAATCCCCAGCAAAATTCCCATTGCTTCAGGCCCAACGGGAACAGTGAACATTCCTCAGATATTGGTCCAAATATGGATAATAGTAGTGAAGAGTTGCTTAGGATTACCACACAGCAAGGCCAGCTTATTGCTTCCCCACATAATAAAATGGCTGTGCAGAGTTAAGCATTGCTCAAAAAGCTTCAGTACTTGTAAAGCCGGTTCGGGACCAACTTTTGGTCCAAATATAGATAATGGAAATGCGAATATCAAAATCAGGTGAAGATAAATCAACTTTGAAGCAAAAAAGAATCGACAACCAAAATTGAACTCATTGTAGCGAAAAATTCGTAGTATGTATTATGACAAGAAAAGAGCCTCCTGTGATCTGAGTTGATTAAAATGAGATGTATTTTATAGCACTGGTATTTTACGACCAGTTTTTAAATCACATTGATTAACTCCAATGGCAAAAATGAATTCCTAAAAAGTTTTTTAAGAGGAGCAAACTTATGAGTGTACTTTTTGTGTTGTTTGAATGTATAGTAGTCATTTCTCGATACCTAACTCATTTCATGAATTTTATCTTTTTTTCTGGCTTTGTGTTTGTCCTCATTAGTATAGCATTTTACTCATGATTTTAAATATTCCAATTGCTCATTGCTACACTAAGTAAATGAAGCCGAAATAAAATTCCATATTATGATAATTTTGGACAGTGACAGGGACAATTCTGCACAGTTTAATCAACCTTTCTGCAGCTTAATATTTGTCTGATGTGAAGCACTTTTATCTCAACCATAAATTGCTACGATATTTCTTTGCTTTTCTTCTTTTGTAATGAATCTTTTCACAGTAAAAAAAATGCAATAACTGTTTCCGTAATTCACAATTGTTATTTTATTCATTTTGAGGTTTTTGAAGAAACTCAGTTTAAATCATAGACGGCTCGATCAATAAATCTGATCAACGCATTGTTGGTAGAGAAAATATGAACGGCCAGAAAGCGGACATCCTTTAGAAGAGCAGTTGATTGAGAAAGACACTGAAATTTGCTTTCCAGTTTTTTTCTCAGCTTAGAAAACATAAAATCATTTAAAATTCAATTTCTTCAAACATTAAAGAAACATTTTACTGAGCGAATAAAAAAAGAATAAAAACTTGTTACACATCCAGTTTGAACTACAATGCTTAAAATCTTTTGTTATCTGATAATGTCTAACATATGACTTCATGCAAGCCTTCTGGACGAATAGCTGGTACGAATACCGAAATATGTACATTTTCCAGAAAATAACTGTCAGTCTGTTCGCTGTATTCCATAAATTGTTTGTTTCACCTTTGTCCACACTTTTCTTCATTTAAACTTAACAATTTCGCTTTCCTAACAAACACGTTTTCTTAAAGAAAATTTGGAGGCATTTATTCTTTCCGCTCATTGTGTTACCATTTTAGAATGGTAGAAAATGAAATCTAACTGTCTTCATATCTACACTACCTTATTAAAATCACCTGATCAAAGTTTCTTCTTATTCCTAGTCTACCTAAATTCGTTCCCCTGGATTTTTAATCACCTCTCTCCCAAGCACTTTTGCAAAATTATAACTCCCTTGAGGAAAAAGAAACAAAAAACGACTGAATAGCAGAAGGAGAGAAAAGAACAGTTTCAGTCATTTCTCTTTTCCCATAAATCAAAGATAATTGCCACTTTAGACAAAAATTAGTTTAAAACAAAATCGATCTAAAACTTAATCAAAAACTGCCCACAGTTATCATAATGAATTTTATTATAACCTCATAACAGTTTAGCAAAGCAATTACAACATTTAAAATCATAAAATGTGATATTAACAAGGGCAAACATAAAGAAATGTAAAGGTAGAAGAAAAACGAACTAGATATCAAGAGAAACAGTTGCTGTATATCGATAAAAAATATGCAGATTTTAAGTGGAACAAAAAGATATGTTGGATCTGGAACAAAATACCGAAAAGTCAGAAAAGTAACTGGTGAATCTCTTAATATTATGAGCTCAAAAAATTATCGCAAAAAATATCATTTTCAATTCAAAATGCATTGCACTTTGAGTTCCAATTTAAAATAATGAAATCAAATTTTTTCTCTCGAGTAAAAGAAAAAGAGAATATGTGAGGCTAAAATAGTTTTGCAGCTAATTTAATAAAAAAAGAAAAAGTTGTTCAATTTTGGTTTAGAAAATTTTAAAAGGAAATAACATGTATATGGATATAAGTGAAAATTATACTCCAGTTAAAGCCCTGCAATAAATCACTTTCTTTCGGGAATTAACGAAAGAGATATAGTAAAGCAAAGGACAATCCGAAAGAGAAACAAAAACCTGCCTCAAATGAAATAATAAAACCCTGCAAAATTAAATAAACTGTCTTCTAACTAGGTTAAACGGAAGCTGTGTGACTCGTCTTTCTCAAATATCAAGGCTGATCTCTTAATATTATGAGCTCAAAAAATTATCGTAAAAAATTCGGAAATGGATAAGTGGGTAGGCCTGAAGGAAATAAGGATGACTGAAAATCATGATGGACACACTTTTAGAGATGAATAACTGATGGTTCGCCACTATAAGCTCCAGTAAAATAAAGATCGACATATGCTGAAAGTGGTGGAACTCTAACAAAGAAAGTTAATGATTAGGTGGTTATTCAGATGACATGTTCGTTTATAAATTGGAAAATCAGAATTACTGCGTAAGAGATTATAGGAAATTAATGTTATTTTTTTAATAAATAAAATTAACATATCTCTATTTTCACTATTGCAGTTTTGCGAAATTTTCTAAATCTTTTATAAAATTCTATTAAGTAAGTAAAATAAGTAATTGAACAACTATCATGCTATGTGCACTCAAGCAACATAATCAGCTCTTGAAACAGCAAGACTTCCCAATTTTATGATCATTAAGAAGATCGAAATTATTAGTGGTGTCCGACTGCATCGATTTTGCATTTCTCTCACCGTTCTGACGTTCTAGTAAATGCTCTGCGACAGCAGTAATTACTTTACGAATACCTTCACCATTCATTGCCGAGGTTTCGTGAAAAGCAGCACCAATTTGTTCGGCATATTGTGCTCCTTCATGATACTGTACCACTCGAGCACTTTCCAAATCTAATTTATTGCCAACAACAAATAAGGAGACAGGAACTGTCGAGCCACGTTCGACTTCTACAAAAACAAAAACTAAAAATATTAAAATGAAAAAAAATATTGGAATGAATTGAGAACATTCAACTTTACTTTCATAGTAAATATGTAAATCAGGAACAAAAGTCAGAAATTTTCTATTTTTAGAACTGCTTCGTACAAGTAAAACCAGTTTGCTGTACATAAGAAACCTAATCAATACAAAAGAATATCTTTCAATTTAATTCGAGATATGTATTTGGCTTTTCTTTAGCATTACCCAGTTATCTCCACAGACAAAACAATTAATAAGCACTAAAAAAAGAAATAAATAAACTCACCATTAACCCACTTCTTGATCTCTAAAAATGAATCGCGATCAGTTACATCGTAAACGATTACTGCTGCAACTGCGTTACGCAGATACATCGGAAGCTAGAAAACGATCAACAGTTTTAAATAACTGACTAAGAAAACAAAAAAAAAAATTCTATTTATTCTATATAATTTTCACTTCAAAATAATCTAAAACAATACATTTACCATGGATGCATAGCGTTCCTGCCCCGCTGTGTCCCATATTTGCAATTCGACGTTTTTACCATCCAAAAATCTTAAAAAATAATAAATTTCAGATTAAATTTTAAGATTTAAAAAGTTGGGCAATATGGAAATTTTAGTTATAAAAACTAATGAACTAGTATGTATGCTTTCACCAGAATTCTTTCATCAGAGAAGAACAAAGTCCAAATAAAAAGTTCAAATAATTCTACTTAATATATATTTGATTTACACAGTGCCACCTTTATAACCAAAAAGAACTTTAATGCACCGAAACATACACAATGACATATAAAACGATGTCCACCATCCCAAATCAGTTTTATCAAGCAGTAGTATTTACTTTAAGGAATACTTTATAACCTACAAAAACGAAGAAATAAAGCTAGCTCCTAGTGTCGGGCTGACTTTACTATAGAAACCTTGACCATCATGTCGAAGAATGATGCTCGTTTTCCCGACACCTGAAAATTTGAAATGTAATGAGTGCACAACAAATATAATGACAAATAAACGGTAATTTTGATCCCAGCAAAAATATAAAATTTAACAGCAAATAAGTGTTTGGTTTAAGTCCAAGAGTTTTCTTGACAAAATCAAACATTAATATGTTTATGAATTATTCTTATAAGAGGCTACTAATCTTCAATTTAAAAATCAAAAAGAAGCGATTAGAGGAAAACCGTATCCGTTCACTTACCGCTTCTGCCAACAAAAATGATTTTAGCTCTGAGATCTGGTCTTGCAATTTGAGAAAAAGCTGGTGACATTTAAGTGAGATAAATTTCTTCGATTCAATAATGTGAGATAAAAATCTTAAATAAAAAAGAAGCAAGAATTTTATAACATACAAGGGGATATAAAAAAAATTTATCCAGTCACTCAGAAGATAGAAGACTGGATAAACTTTTTGCTCTAAGGAAGATGCCATTTCACTTGAAGCTGACCAAAACCGCTTCTGGAGGGAAAAGAAAAAAACACGCTGAATACATTAAATGACAAATATTATTAAACTTTTTTCACTCCAGTAGTATATAACGGCAGAGTTCAAAGCAAAAAGCACAGTTGCATAAAAACATCTCTCGTTCTCCAAATCTCTATAAGTTTCATATTAATGACGTTTCACTTCATTTCACGCATTTCTCTAACATTTAGCATGAACTCCCACTCCAAATCTCTTCATGAAGAATTACTTCTGAAACACGGAAGTCGATTCCAAATTTCCTAATGATATACTAGTATAAAGACGAAAAAATAGAAAATAAAGACATAACTCTAAAATGGGACAGTTCGAAATTAGCATATTCTGAGCACCACGAAAGTGTGTGCTGTCACATATGTATAACGAACGCTGATATTTTCCTCTCTCTTCCGTTTTTGAACCCTAGAAATTTTAAAAGCATCATCCATAAGACCAACTTTCCAGCTTACACTTATTTACATAAAAACATCGATATCCACTGAAGTGGTAAGAGAAATCAAATCAGCAACCCATTTTCAAGAGAGATTGTATTTTTTTACATGAAGCAAAATCTCAAAATGTCGATAAGAGATTATGAGTGGAATTGCACAGTTACAATGTAATGCACAGAAAACCTTATATGATGTATACTTGAAACAGCATACAGCATTCTGTTTCATTTTTGATACAAATGAAAACATGCACGAATTTTAGAATTAATCATAGCTTCAAATAATTTTAAACAGCAGACTGCTTTTCAACTAATAAAAGACAGCACATACAATCGTGAATAATTTTCAAAACGCTTAAATATTGATCAAAATTATTTATAGAACCACTGTTTGATTCATCATCTAAAGCCTCAGTTGACAAGCATAATCCAACTTCTTTACTTACAGTGGTCCTATATAACAAATCAACATGATGACTTCAGTATTTACAAGGGCAAAAAAATTACTGAGAGGAAAGAAAGACAAAAAACGTGAGTCTCTCGCGTTCGAAAAATTCCTAATCGCCGTATCGGATACAGCCTATACAATACTTAACGAATTTTAAGAAGGGAATAAATATGGAAAATATCAACACAAAATGAAGGAACTTCATTTTATTATCGTCACGGAAAAGTAATTGCCAATATACCGGACATAACGAGCTTCATGAATTTGAACTCAAGCATCGGAAAATTCATTCACTTCACATGAAAAATTAATAAATTATAACGTTCCAATAATGTCACGATGAAAAATGAAAGGATAGATAATATTAACGAGTAATGCATGGATGACACTCATCAAATAACAACTCGATATAAGCAATTTGATACCACACAGCTAAAAAACTTCGGCTTATGCTAAAAACATCGATGACAAAAAATATGGAAAAAGTCAGCCTGTTTCACCTACAACTTCTAAAGACCAAATTTTATTAAATTTACACTTCCTACAAAAACATCATAAAAAACGCAATTTTTATCACTAGTAGACCAATTTTTGCTTCCGAGGATGAACTTTTGATCATATATTTTTGGAGATATAAAATGTACATCGAATTCTATAAATAAATCAGTTGATGAATTAATAAAATAAATGTTGAAAATTCAAGTTTAGATTTTTAAGACAAGCACTCCTGCCTTAAATATTTTTGAAACCATTCAAATCGCCCTATGTTTATACTCTTTCTCTTCACTTCCTAGTTTTCCTATGGATCGAGTACTCGGTGACGGTGTTGAATGTAGTGGAATTTCGTATGGACCTGAAATAAAGATATTCATATTACATTATATTTTTGCAATTTTACTTTCAGAAAGATGAAGGTTAATATTTTGAAAATCGAAGGGACAAAATAAGAAGCTCGGAAGAGCCACTTAAAAAAAAAAAAAACAAAAAAAAAAAAAACAAAAACAAATGGATGACACTACAAAAGGAAATGATTTCCATAGATGTGATGATGAAGCAAGTCGAGAAAACAATATACAAGGATGAAAGAGTCAACAGAAAATTGATGAAATGTCAATATGTAAAACAGGTGAAACATCTCAAAAATTTATTAAAAGCAATACTAGCAATCTCTACTGTATGCACAACAAGCTGTCAGTTTTGGAAGCAATTCAGTGATTTTAGAAAATATAAACGATTTAGGAGAAACGGGCATTCAATACATTAACATCTATGCAGTGCCCAAACTTTATGATCTGAAAACCTAGCAGCTGAAAAAGACGGTGGAAATCTAGTCTAGTCCTTTTGTCTTTATAGAGAGCAAATTATAAATTGACTGTTAGCAAATTATAAATTGACTGTTAGCAAGGCAAAAAGCAAAGTCAAGAAATGAATGCAGATGACACAAAGCAGTTAGAAACAGTTTGATAACCATGAGGTCCACATTTTCAGTCTCGATCCCTCATTGAAATCATTGTACGAAAAAAAAAAATAAAACCTATAGCGGTGAGCAAGCTTAAAGTAAAGGAGTAATTACTGAAAGTTGGGATAACACAATTACCACATAAATTAACTTTTTAATCTTTACTCTCAAAGACGAGTCAATATAAATTGAGTGAAAAAAAGAAAAATGGTAGTATAATTTGTTAGTAAATCAAAGATGGGAATGGCAAATAGCACGTGCAAAAATTTTTGATTTTTCAATAAAGGTTCCATACTTGATGATACGGCGTAATCCAAAGTTGCATATTCGTCTGAAAATCAAGATATATTATAGATTTTTCATTTTCTTTTAGTTTGAAATGAAATATGATGAAAGTAGAAGACAAAGTTCGTTACTTCATATAAAAGCAAGTATACAAAAGAAATATGTACGTGTAACTGAAGAACTTCTTAGCTGCTCACTCTTAGCGATAGGTACTGGTTCATCCGGTATCACTTTTACCGGCACTGTCTCAATTGTTGGTCTACGGTACATTGGATTGTTGAATTCTCGTGTTTCAATTTCATTATGAGTTAAAAGTTCTTTGACATTTGGATAATAACTGAAAGCTGATAACGGTTCAATCTGAATATAAGGATTGGAAATTTAAATTTATGGATCATAGTGAACGAAGAGAAACCTCCTGAAATTACTACACTTCGCTGCTGCATTTCCTGTAAATAATTTGTCAGAAAAGCTTACGTAAGAATTGGAAAATCAGGATCCCTTTCCTTTCTATATTTTCTTCGATAGAAAACTGTTCCAAACGATAACAAGATAACAGCAAATAACAATGTTAGCAGAGCAGGAAACACCCAACTGCTACTTTCAGCATATTCTTTCATTGCTGCATTACCTGTAAATAATTCTATATATTTCAATAATATTCATCCCAAAATTGCGGACGTTGTTGTTATCTTCCTCACAAGAATTCTATCAGTTCCACTTTTCTGGCTGCAATTTCTATGCTTCTTAAATATAAAGGTATAAAAAAAGGATCTGAACAAAATACAATGGGATAAAAATATGGACTGAGATCTAACAATCTCTATCATTCATTAATCACGGTTAAAAGGAGCACAAACTAACTCACGTATAATACGGCATGGTTTTGTATGCAGATCGCAGCATCCAATCACATTATCGCACATTTCATTTTCAGAACAGTTACAAAGTAAGCTGCAGTTATTGCCATAATAACCTTCTAAGCAAACTGTAAATTCAAAAAACACAAAAATTTGTGTAATGATAGAGTATAAAGTGATCGTAAGATCGTAGAAAATTGTTTATCCTAACTCACACGGAAGAACATTCGCTACAAAGTTTTGTTTGCTGTCCGGCATAGACAGTACGAATTTTACGAATACTTCGACATTCCGGTCTTTGAGAAAAGCCATCTCCGTATATTTTATGCAAGAAAAAAAAAAAAAAAAAAACTAATCAGTTAACAAGTCAATACAAATTAAACTTGGGTTTGAAAATTCAAAACGTATACAGCTACTTTACCTTCACAGGTCTCCTGTGGTGTTTCGTAGTATCCAGAACAGCATTTATAGACAGTTACCTTCTTTTTCGTTGGTAACGCTTTATACGAGATCTTTGTACCGTTACTGAAGAACATTTATTTTGTACAGAAATTATGAATTTTGGTCACTCATTTGTGTGATTAGCTTTTACTAACATTTGTTTCATTATTCAAGATCTGAGAATTATATTCTCAAATATATGGTGCTCATATTTCCAATGTACTATTAACTATATAATGAATCTAATAAACGAAATATTTTGCTTCTTAAAGTTGGTGGTCATTTTTAGCTCATTACAAACATTTGTAACCATATATCCACTATATACTCACCAACCTACCTGTACTTAAATTTTAAGCATGACAATCATTGCGGCCTAATAGAATTTTTTGATGTACAACATTTGTTATCAACAAAAGACCGATGTAATAAAAAGATTATGTGGAAAAGAATTCAAATCAAATTTTAGAAAAAGCTGCAAACTTACGTCTTCACTTTACAACGGAATCCTTGTGAGACATCCCAGCAAGCTTGCGTTGTATGTAGCATAACAGTTTGTTCATGCTTCTGCAAGCTCAATTCCTCAGCTCTAAAAAATTAAAAACTATGAAAGACTGCCAAATACTTAAAACAATGGTCCAGCTATAATCATTTGAATTGTGATGAATGAAAAGAAATGACATCCTGAAAATGACCTAAATGGTAAAATCCATTTATTGCAATTATAGGCAGAACCAAATCAAAAGTCTGCATAAAACTGTATAGTTCAAAGTAGTTTAATGTCATGTTTTGCTGACTGCTTATCCAGACACTAAGAAGAAATGAACTATAAGTTAGAAAGCATTAAAGGGCTTAAGAACTTAAT